TCACGTGACAAGGGGGGAGGTGTGCTGAAAGCTGCGAGGACAGGGTTTTTGGACGTGAATCAACACGATTCACTACAACCCTGCGCCAATTCTTAGGTTATGTACGAATGCCTTCGTGAAAGGTACTTGCAGACTTCGAAGCGGTAAAGCAGTCATCGACGAATTCACGCACATTGCCCTGCCTTTTAAACTGTTTATCCGCTTAGGCGTGTTGCTGCTGCATTGACTGGAACAAATGGTAGTCGGACGGTGTCAAGTCTGGTGAATGTGCTGCTTGGGAGAGGGGAACTTCCCATTCCAGGTTCAAGAAGGTCTTCTGAGTAGCCCGAGCAGCGTGACCTCGAGCGTTGACAAGCAGCAGCACTATGACCTGCCTGCTTCCTTGCACAGTAGATGGCCTTTTCCCATGAGGTTCTTTGCCCAGTTTGTTCAATTGTCGACAGTAGCGGCAGTTTCCAGGAGATCGTAATCAGGTATACCTCTCATGTCCCACCACATATTCAGCAGAACCGCCTTCAAGTGGATGTCCTGTTTCGGCGTCGATGTAATCAGTTGCCCGGAATCTACCCACGACTGTTTACGTTTGGGATTCTCATCAAAAAGTTACCTCTCATCAACCGTTACAATTTTCCACAAAAGTCTTTATTGTGTTGCCGGGCAAACAGCGAAAGGCATGTGTTCATAGGTGGACCTAAGTTGTGTTCGATCAAAACATGTGGCACCCAACTTCCAAGTTTGGAATTTATTCCCTTCGGTGCAAGCAATCGGAAGCAGCCGCTTTGGTGACGCCTAACTAAGCTGCGAGCTCTTGTTGTGTTTGCGTTGAGTCTTCATCAAACAGAGCTTGCAGTTCCACAACTTCAAACTTTCGAGGCTGTCCGCGGTGCGACTGGCCACTTCTAAAACATTTGTACCAATAATTACACGCTTCATTAGACACAACTTTGACACCAAGAACACTAAAAATTGATTCCCTTTGTGCTTTAGAAGCACTTATTGCTTGTTTTAATTCGTATAAAATGCCGTGACAACGAAAATGCTGCTTATCAGTTGCCATCGTACACTCTGCAATTCTGAGAGGTTATGAAACGCGTGTAGACTTGTCATTCGGTGTTCTGATAACTTGCGTCCGATCCTTTCAAGGCCACGGAAGACCGCGAAAATATTTCAATTTTAGATTTAATTTTAGACTTTAGTAAAAAATCTGTACACATTAGGCCTCACACCTAATAAGAACATATGCATCAATGAGAACTGGGGAAACACCGACTCAGTCACCACGAAAATAGATCTGGCGCCTGAAAATGTGTGCAAATGATAGGTAGAAAACTAAGTTTTAGGGGAAAAATTGTATTGCACAGTATGGCTAGACGCGATTCAAAGGTAATGGGCTGTTACGTGAAAAAGATTTCCTGCTTGCCAACTATGCTCACACTCTAAAACTGCCTTATCTGAGTTAACTTTTAACGATTTGATAAAAAAGAACAAAAAGGCCGTTAAATCACTTAGGCTTCAGACGAAGAGCGCCGAAGAAACCACCGAGAAGGCCAAGCGGGAGGCCAAGTTGCAGACCCTCGACCCACTTGACCACGACCTCACCAAGCATGTCCGTCTGCTGGCCAAGCAGGACGTGTACGAGGTCGTGGACCTCACGGTAGCGCTGCATCACGTAGGCTAGGTCGGGATCATCAACGAAGTTGACCAGACCTCGGTCGTTGGGGCTGTACCCCTGGAAGGTGAGGAAACGCGATCAGGGTCGATACACGCCACCCGCTTACTTTCCTGCGTGCATCGGACGCCAGTTTATTTGCAAGATTTTCGACTATTTCATTAAGGGGAAGACACTGGCAAAAATGGAGCAATCCCGACTGCCTGAACCAAAAGGCTCTATCGACTTTAATCTGTCCGATAACTTTTACCATTAGTCTGGAAATTATATGACACTGCACTCGTGTAAATTCTGATACGATGTGGTGGTTCCCCACGCCTAGACAATGGTATTTTGGATTGATTTAATTTCAGACAACCAATTATAAATAACTAGTAATAAATCGTTATGTTAAGCGGAAAAAAACATGCTTTGAACTTGACTTTGACATAAGTACGCTGTATTTAATGAATTTTTTCCTGTTTATGCAGGGAAAACAATATGGGGCTGATTAACAAGTCCAGGACATTTAAACAGTCTTTGATGATTGCATGTGGTGTATTTAACCCCTCTGCAATCTCTCGGCGTCACTCAATTAAGTTTCTTTTTGGTCATCTTTAACCATAGGAATTCGACTGCAACATTCCTCAACTTTGGGCGAAAAAAACTCTCTAAAGGACTCATTAAACCTGTTAGGCAACCAACGCTACATACCACGAGCACCAAATTCTAAGCCATTATAGGAAAAAACAGAATTCCAAAAAGATCTGTTTTTGAACTCCCTCATACGAAGCTGAAAGCAGTAAGAAAACCTTCAAAACAAGGATAGAATTTGACAAAATTTGTGAACATCGAAATCACTTTCTTGCCAGGTCACTAAAGGTACAGGCAGTTTGAGGGACACATGACACACGCGGCTCGACTATGTAACAGCAGGAAGTGTAAGGCTCATCTGCAACCAGATGAAACACAGGAAAATCGAACTTCACGATCAAAGCAGTAATAAAGAGCCCCTTACGGTCAGATTTTTAAGCTTTTCAAGAAGTGTTGACCGCTGATGCAGTCAAAACGCATGCAAAAGGTATTGGGGACGTCAAAATTTTTATAACACAATGGTTACCAGTTTAATTTCCGATACTTTCGGAAGTATTGATAAACGTGAGATGCTACTAACACAACCTAAGAATGGTCTGCTAATGCGAAAGTGAACAATTCTGCCATACAGTTATACTACTCAGTATCCCACACAAAAACACTGCTCTAATGAGTTTGTGTACATCTTCAACCAAAGGGATCGATCAAATTTGGTTTTGAATGCTTACCGACTTAAGTTCTTTCTTAAAGGATACTATCTACGTACAATAAAGGCCAAGATAGGACTTTGGTCAACTTCTAAACTCAATAAATGATGGTTTAGGTGAGAGTGATTAGTAAAATACGCAGACACAAACACATCATAAGTGTATAAATTGCGTAAGTTGTATAGAAGCAAGTTTATAAGATAATTTGCTTAAATCAAAATCCCATTAACCATGATTTTGACTTTGCTGAGTGGCAAAGATAGCAGGTTTAAATGTTGTTAGACAAAATATCGCACATTACTAGGAGGTTCACAATGGATGTGCAAAGAACAGCTCAATCTATGTAACGCCTCAACATGAATACAAATGAAACTCAAGGGGCGAGTAAACACGTTAATTTCGCATGTACGTGATATGAGGGTTGCGCAATTACAGACTTACATATCTGTCGAGGAAAGCAACGTAGTGACTCCCAAAGGTATGGCTTGGAAGCTGACGAAGGTAACCGAAGTCAATAGTACTGGACCGAATGCGAGGTCGATTACTAGTAAGTTAGGACCGGGAATTTAAATTACTGTCTTACGCCAAAACAGCAGCTCCTTCGGGATCTGACCGCATCTTTACAAAGAGTCTTTTTAGGGCTCGGTGACCCGTTGTCTCACCAAACAGAGCAATAAAGTCTACAGTAGTGAAGTTAGAAGGTATTAACTTTAATACCCGGTCTTTGAGGATACAGCATGCAAGCGATACCCGAAGTTACAGCTAGCAGGGCCTTTTGTAACTTCGTCGTTGTAATGTGTCCCTCGTACAACAGGTCCATATCGTGAGAAACATCATGCAACTAAACACATTAGGCCCATGCTATAGGTACATACCTCCCGAATACTGGATTTGAGAGATCCCTCAAACCGTTTGGGGATATGGGCCGTTAGAGGTTTCAGCAACATCCTGATAAAAATCATTCATGAAATGGTAGTTACAAAGAACAGGATACGAAACACTAAAAGTCGACGTTTCAGTAAATTTGACATAATAGCAGTGTCAAAAATGGCGGTGGTTTCCGAGAAAGGCGCAACGTTTTTACCCAGTTAACCAGCATTGAAGGACCAGAGGGTAGTGAATTTGATCAAGAAGTCGAAACAAAAAGAAGAAACAGCATTTACAAGACGTAAAGCGGATAAGTTTGCGTATCCAATTCAATGTTGAACTCAGAAGTTCCATTATGCAATAAAAAAATTTGACGATGGCTCTTTCAAAAAGTGGCAATAAGCTGGAACGAATACGTAGAAACTGCGAAGCGTATACAACACAAATACGTGTAAATTGTCGATGGATTCACTTCGCATAAGATTTATCAACACCTGCATAATGATCCTAATTTGCACTGAAAGTGATAGGTCTTTGCTGATGTACACACAAATTAGAGAATGGCACAGGACTTACGACCGGCAACTGCGGTGTGGTGTGGTGTGGCGTCGGATCGGGGCGCAGACATGTTGGACCACCTGGCCTCAGCCAATCCTGTGTCTCTCTGCGATCCAATGGCATGCGGGAAAGGAAGGCAGCCAACCAGAGAAGGACATGGATGAGATGCAGTATATAATGAGCGGCGTGGCCAGCGTGGTGGACTCGGATGGAAGGCGCCTGACGTGTGGCTCTGGCTTCTGATTGGTCAATAAAGCCTGTTTTGTTGTACCGATCTTTT